TTATTATTATTATTATTATTATTATTATTATTACAATGGGCAGCGGCCAGGCTGCTCACCTAATTAAGGTACAAGGATCACACAACCCCCCTGTTACGCCCATTCCACTGGCTGCCAGTCTGCTATCGAGCACAATTCAAAGTGCTGGCTTTAGCCGACAAAGCTCTGAACGGTTCTGGCCCAGCTTAGCTGTCCGAATGTATCTCCCTCTATGATCCACCTCGGAGGCTAAGATCATCAGGGGAGGCCCTGCTCTCGGTCCCACCCCCGACTGTTGGGGATGAGAGACAGGGCCTTCTCAGTGGTGGTCCCTCCTCTATGGAACCCCCTACCCAGTGAAATTAGATTGGTCCCCTCTCTCCTGGCCTTCAGGAAAAAAACTAAAAACTTGGCTCCAGAATCAGGCTTTTGGTCAAAAATGGGAATGAGGCAGTAAGAGATGGTAATTTAATTTTAATGATGACCTGGACTGGCCTTGGAATATGACCTGGACTATGTGATTTTAATTGTTGTTTTAATGTTATGTTTTATTTGAATGGTTTTAATGTTTTGTTTATCAATTGATGTATGTATTCATGAAGCATTGAATTGTTGCCTTTGTAAGGCTGCCTTGAGTCCCCTTGGGGGTTGAGAAAGGCGCGATACAAGTATGGTAAATAAAATAAAGAAATAAATAAATAGACTGAGGTTCCCAGGCAGGATGTCTTCATAACAAGGTTGCCTTTTCTTCTTCTGCCATTGAGATGTGTTACCCAGTCAACTTCCATGGTTGAGCAGGGATTCAAATGCTGCTCAGCCACAGAAGCCCACTCTTAAATGTAGCACTGCACCAACCTTTAATTCCTGCTGACCTTGCTTTACCTTAGATTTATAATATCTGTGAGACTTTATTAAATTGTATATTAAATTTAATGTAATATGCATATGGAAAATCCATATACTTTTTTTTACAGCTGTGCTACATGATTGCAAAACAAGGGTGCCTCTTATGACACTGTCATTTGACTTCTTTGAGCACAAAGGCTTTTTGTTCAAGATTGCTATTAAGAACTGATCCAGTTCTATTGAAACATTTGAAATACAAATTCCAGCTGTCTATTTTGAAAGAAAGTGCACACATCAGCTTTCTTTAATAATGTAAAAACTCCAGATGCATTTGGGCAAGTGTAGTTCAGAACTAATGTACTGTGATCCAGTCTATATTTGCCTTACTGAAAGAAAAAAAAAACCCCAAATGAAAGTGGATTTTCCTCTGATGTGCTACAGATGTTTTCAAATCATTTTCATCTTTAAAATACATATTATTCCCTCTTGTAACAAATTCTGAATGAAACGCTAGCATAACAATGTGAGCATTTGGCCTTCAGATACTTTAAACTTCAACTTCCAAAATTTATAGCAGCATGGCTGATAGTAGGGGATTGTGAGAATTATAGCCCAAAATAATAATAAATAATAAAACTTTATTTGTATCCTTCCCCATTTCCCCAAGAGAACTCGGAGTGGCTTATAACACAATAACAGTGCAAACCATAAACAATAATTAATTAAGATAAACAACAAAATTAACTGAAATAAACAAAAAGCAATGCTAAGTAATATAAAAATAAAACAACATATTACATTGACACAACTTCATTTATAAATGAAGATAAACAGTGGTGATGTTACATAAACCAATTAAAACATCCCAGGCACTGGTCTGGTTAAAAGCAATAGTTCCATTTAAGTCCTCCAGCCATTAGATATTGCACTAACCATTTCAAAGGCCTGTTTAAACAGCCAGGTTTTCAATTCGTTCCAAAAAGTTGCGAGCAAGGAAGCTTGTCTAATCTCCCTGGGGAGGGTTTTCCAGAGCTGGAGGGCCACAACTGAGAAGGTCCTCTCCCTTGTTCCCATCAACTGTGCTTGTTACGGAGTTGGGACCGTGAGGAGGGCCTCTCTGGCAGATCTTAATGCTCGAACAGGTTCATAAGAGATGCGTTCACATAGATAGGCTGGACCCGAACTGTTTAGGGCTTTGTAGGTAATAACCTGCACTTTGAATTGGGCCTGGAAACATATAGGCAACCAGAGGAGCTGCTTTAATAAGGAGGTGGTATGTTCCTATTTTTAACCATGTTCCAGCATTTCCAAATCATTGTCTGGACAATTGATAATTCATAATAGTTTTTTGCCTTTACATGGTATTTCAATGTTCCTGTGTTTTGCATACATGAAATCCTTAGAACCTTGCCTGACAAAACAGGAAGAATGAGCTCCCTTCTGTGAAAGCTGGTTTGTGCCAGGCGGAAAAAAAACATTGGCACAGGGAAGTAAGACTCCATCTGTGGGAACACGAGGGGACGGATGGATATTGGAGACAAGTTAAAATTGTTATGTGGAAGCAATGTGGCTTGTCCTGAGATAATGCAGAGAAAAGGATGGGCAGAGGAAAAAGTGAGAATTGTGCTGCTACAAGCTGAGAATCCTTTATCTTGAATTCTGAAATCCAAAATATTTCAAAATTGTTCATATGTGACACCTCTGCCTTCTAACGGTTCAATATAAACAAACTTGTTTCATGCACAACCTTCTTAAAAACTTTCTGTATACATTTATGCATATACATGGTATCTATGAAACACCAATGAATTTTGTTTAGATTTCAATCCCACCTCCAAGATATCTCATAATGAATACTGTATATATTCTGAAATCCAAAACACTGTTTATCCCAAGTATTTTGGAAAAGGGATACTTAACTTCTGCTGAATTTTATTCCTGTTGATCACATACATGCCAAGTAGTTATTTTCCACTTCTGAAGCTGGTATCGTAAGGTATACTAGAGCACTGTGAGTCACAAGTGGAATAACACTAGCAATATGATGACTTGTTTAACTGAATAGCTTTATGAAATGCCTTTACTCACTGAGTGTTTTCTCACTAATAAAAATGAACTATATTATTAGTTGATGCTTGGGTTTCTAGCTTTGTAGGTGCTGTAGCATTGTGATACAGAATTCTGGGAGAAGTTTAATGGAAATGAACTCTGAGGGCATCTTCACTGATGACAAATTTACTATCTTTTATCAGAAATTGTTGGTAATCCATATATAAGTCCATACATATATCCTCTGAAGCATGTTAAAGCTGATGGAACATGACAATATTTGGGTATTCTGTTATGTAGAGATGTGGCACAACAGACATGCATGCATCTGTATCAAACTGATGCTACTAAGTATCAACCAAAGGATTTCTGAGAACCTGAAAGCTGGTTCAAATTGTACTCGTTCAAATTTATTCCTCTTTGCATTGGAGTATTTTCATCCTATTTGAACTTTGAGAGCTGTGCTTCATTATCATCTTCTCCAGCTTGCATAATAGTTACATGACCAGCTGTCTGTTTACTTTTACTCCTTTTGGAAGATCTCTTCATCTGAGTTGGACCCCTGAACATTGCGACTGATATCAGACTGAGATACTTTCTGTTTGAGAGTGGTTGCTCCTTTTTCACTGTATTTCATATTTCATTGCATTGAGCTTTGCATTGGGGATTTTGGTGTCACTATATGGTCATTAGAGTTTTCCTATTGCATAGACTATATTGTTTGTTTGCATATCTTACAAGCATTCTGGGATATTGCTTAGCAGTTTCCTATCAACCCCCAAAAAGGGATAGTGTGGACTGTTTGTGTGTGTATGTTGTTTATTTGCTCAGTCACTTCAGTCTCTTTGTGACCTCATGGAACAGCCCACGTCAGAGCTCCCTGTCGGCCGTCACCAACCCCAGATCCTTCAGAATCAAGCCAATCACTTCAAGGATACCATCCATCCATCTTGCCCTTGGTCAGCCCCTCTTCCTTTTTCCTTCCATTTTCCCTAGCATCATTCTCTTCTCCAAGCTTTCCTGTCTTCTCATTATGTAGCCAAAGTACTTCATCTTTGCCTCTAATTTCTTTCCTTCCAGTGAGCAGTCGAGTAGTATTTCCTGGGGTATGGACTGGTCTGATCTCGCAGTCCAAGGCACTCTTAGAATTTCCCTCCAACACCACAGTTTAAATGCATCCATCTTCTTCCTTCGCTCAGCCTTCCTTATGGTCCAGTACTAGCATCCATAGGTTACTACTGGAAATACCACTGCTTTAACTATGTGGATCTTCGTTGCCAGTGTGATGTCTCTAGGTAAAGATTTCCCCTGACATTAAGTCTAGTCGGGTCTGACTCTGGTGGGTGGTGCTCATCTCCATTTCAAAGCCGAAGAACCAGCATTGTCCACAGACACCTCCAAAGTCATGTGGCCAGCATGGCTGAATGGAGCTCTGTTCCCTACCCGCTGAAGCTGTACTTATTGATCTACTAACATTTGCATGTTAGCCCCAGCTTCTGAATGTTGTCAGAACATTCAGAAGCTGGGACAACATTAAGAAGCTGGGGCTAACAATGGGAGCTCACTCTGCTCTTCGGATTTGAACCGTTAACCTTGTGGTCAGCAAGCTCAGCAGCTCAGCAGTTTAACCCACTGTGCCACTGTGGCCTCATATATATTATACCATGTACATAAACACAAACAAATACACACACACCCTACGCTGTAAAAATAATGTGGCTTGACACCACTGGAGGGGCCATGGCTCCATGCGATGGCATCCTGGAAGTTGTGGTTTGGGTTGTTGTGGGTTTTTTGGCTATATGGCCATGTTCTAGAGGCATTCTCTCCTGACGTTTCGCCTGCATCTATGGCAAGCATCCTCAGAGATAGTGACCTCACAACCTCTGAGGATGCTTACCACAGGTGCAGGTGAAACGTCAGGAGAGAATGCCTCTAGAACATGGCGATACAGCCCGAAAAAACCTACAACAACCCAGTGATTCCGGCCATGAAAGCCTTCGACAATACATTTAAGTTGTGGTTTGATGAGGCAGTAGTTTTCTTTAGCAAGGCCTGCTAAACCCACGACTCTCAGGATGCCATAGCACGGAGCTGTAGGGGTTAACGAGCTGTCAGGCCGCATTCATTCCGCAGCGTAGATGCAGCCACTCTCCCTGCCGGCGGGCCTTCCCGTGCGAAGGAAGCGCCGGGCGTCGTGAGGCGGGGCGGCCTGCCTGCCTGCCTGCCTCGTAGCCGCGCCCCCTCGCCGCGGCCATTCGGCTCCGCTGAGGCAGCAGGAGCGGCGGCGGCGGAGGGCTGCGAGCGGGGCGCGGAGCTGAGAGGCGGCGGCGGCGGCGAGGGAAGGAGGGAGGGAAGATGTCGACCGTTGGCGGCGGCCCGTCCTCGGGCTCCGTCTCGGTGCTGTCCCCGAACGGCCGCCGCGTGACGGTGCGCGTGGGCCCGAGCACGGCTCTGCTGCAGGTGGGTCCGGCCCAGGCGCCCCGCGAGCCCCGCCAACAAACCTGCGCTGATTGGCGCGGGGCGAGGAAAGGGGTGGGGACAAAAGGGAGAGGCCCGCTTTGATTGGACCAGTGGAAGCGCGGCCTGCCCGCCTGTTTTCCCCCTCGCCTCCATGTTGGCGAGCACCGTCATCCTGTTTCTAGGGGGAATGGGCCTTGGCGCTGAGGAGAAGGAGGCCTCTCACTGGGAAGCAAAGGAAGATGGGCTGTGTAATGGGGGAGGCCTGCTTCTTCGCGGGGACGAGCTACTGTGGTCCCTGAGGGAAAAAGAAATGACCTCTCTTTGGGATCAGGCACGAACAAACTTGGGCCCTCCCGCCAGATGTTTTGGACTTCAACTCCCACCATTCCTAACAGCCTCAGGCCCCTTCCTTTTGCCCCTCAGCCGCGTTAAGCGGCTGAGGGGGGAAAGGAAAGGGCCTGAGGCTGTTAGGAATGGTGGGAGTTGAAGTCCAAAACACCTGGAGGGAGGGCCCAAGTTTGCCCATGCCTGTAATAGATGTACACAGTCCTCATTCTACACTGTACATCAATACTGCAAAAGGAGTACAGTTTGACACCGCTCTCATTGCTTTGGCTCCATGCTGTGGAATCATGGGATGTTTTACAAGGCCTTAGGCCTTCTCTCATTAAACTACAACTCCCATTACTCCATAGCATTCAGCCACCACAGTTAAAGGGATGTCAAATAGATGCATCCAAGGGCCTTATCACACTTAAAGAATAGGCCAAGAGAATAATCATTCTATAATAATTATCCCCCAAAGTGAAAATACATGTTACAATAGACACAGGACGTTTCTTTGTAAAGGAGGAAACACTCATCCTGTGACAAGCAACCGATCGGAAATCCTGCTGCAGTTTATAGTTTAGTAGTGAGACCCAGGGCTACTCTGGCTGAGCACTTTAAAAGCCCCCTCCCCTAAACTACAAACTTGCCTCCCCTTTTGACTATGATAAATCCCCAAGTCTGGGGCTCTACTTCCTAGTCACTGTGTTGAAGAATTGTTCCCCAATTAGGTGGGAAAATATACATCACATGGATTGTCAGGCTATATGCCTCCAGGATCAATATTTGCTTTTTACTAAGGCCCATTAGCACTAATTTAAAAGGTGTTGAACATGTCTTTCCAATGGTTGTTGACTAATGTATGAATATCAGAAGTACTGATCTTACGAGGGAGTGAAAAACATAGAATCCAGCAACTGGGTTCCTCTGAAAATTTGGCTGAGATCATGCCTTTGTTGACATAGCCATTTCAGGATTAATCCACTGGTGGGAATGTTTACATTTTTTCAAAAGTGTATTCACTAGTTTACGACTATCATTATTCACTAGCATTACGACTCTGGAGACCAGGATTCAAACCCCCACTTAGCCATGAAACTCACTGGATGACTTCAGGCAATTCACACTGTCTCGGCCTCAGAGGAAGGCAGTGGCAAACCTCTTCTGAACAAATCTCATCAAGAAATCCTGTGATAGAGTTCTATTCTGTTCTAAAGAAATCATCCTTGGATCCAACTATACTAAATAACTACCAGCCTATTTCAAACCTCCCTTTTCTGAGCAAGGTTCCCAGCTCCAGGGATTTTTGGAAGACACAGATTATCTTGATCTTTTGCAGTCTGGTTTTAGGCCTGGTCACAGAATGGAGACAGCTTTGGTCGCCCTGGTAGATGATCTCTGCGGAGAACTAGACAGGGAGAGTGTGTCCCTGTTGGTTCTCTGGAACATCTCAGCAGGTTTCGATACCATCACGTATGGCATCCTTCTGAGTCAGCTCTCCGGAATGGGTCTTGGGGCATTGCGTTGCAGTGGCTCTATTCCTTCCTGGAAGATCAGACCCAGAAGGTGATGCTGAGGGACGCCTGCTCGAACTCCTGGCCTTTGACCTGTGCGGTCCCTCAAGGTTCCATTCCCCCCCCCCCATGTTCTTCAACATCTACATGAAACTGCTGGACAAGATCATCTGGAGTTTTGGAGTTGGGTGTTATCTCTATGCAGATGACACACAACTCTTCTATTTTCCATCGAATTCCAGGGAAGCTCCCTAGATCCTAAACCAGTGCCTGACAGCTGTGATGGACTGAATGAGGGCCAACAAGCTAAGACTTAATCCAGACAAGACAGAGGTCCTCCTAGTCAGTTGTGAGGCCGATTGGGGTATATAGGGTGGCTATCTGTGCTCGATGGGGTTACACTGCCCCTGAGGACACAGGTCCGCAGTCTGCGGGTCCTTTGCTCAGTGCTGACACTTGAGGCTCAGGTATTGGTGGTAGCTGGGAGGGCCTTCGCACAGTTAAAACTTTTGTGCCAGGTTCAACTGTACCTCTAAGAGCCTGACGTGACCATGGTGGTCCTGCCTTAGTTACATTCAGAATGGACTACTGTAATGCACTCTATGTGGGGCTGCCTTTGAAGATAGTTTGGAAACTGCAGCTAGTACAAAGGCTGGCTGCCAGACTACTAACGAGCTAGCTACAGGGAACATACCACACTCCTGCTGAAGCAGCTCCACTAGCTTCCAACAAGTTTCCAGGCTCAGTTCAAGGTGCAGGTTATTACCTATAAAGCCTTATACGCTCTGGGTCCAACCTATCTTCGAGACTGCATCTCTTTCTATGAACTGATGCAGGCTCTGAGATTGACATGGGGGGCCCTCCTTTCGGTCCCACCACCGTCTCAAGCGAGGTTGGTGGGGACAAGAGAGAGGGCCTTCTCTGTGCTGCCCCCCCCCCCCCCAGCTCCAGAATATCCTCCCAAAAGAGATTAGATTAACCTCCACCCGTCAATCCTTCCATTCCAACCTGAAACATGGATGTTCAGACATGCCTTTGACCTTGTGTAGGCTGAATGGATGGGCTCATATGAAACTGACACGTGGCACCTGTGAATTGATGGCAGTTAGTTTTATCTACTGTTGTTTTAAAATTGTATTGTTTTGATTTTATGCTAACATGTTGATAAGAGGTTGTTATAATTTTATGTGACTTGTTTTATATTCTTGTACCGTTTTTACCATTTGTATGTTATATGTGCACCCTGGAGCGCTTTGTAAGCCGCCCAACTCCCTTTGGGGAAATAGTGGCAGGATATAAATAAAGATTATTATTATTATTATTATTATTATTATTATTATTATTATTTGAGTTGACATGGGTCAGCAGCAGTAAACAGGAAAATATGTCCTCTTTGGTCATTTGTGGACTGACCTCAAAACACAGATTTGTCTTTCAAATTTTATATAGTTGTACCTGTTTGTTATTTAAAGATCTAATGATAAAAACATAGGATAAAATAAGTTAGTAAATTATAAAATAAATGCATGTGGTTATCAGTTTGCCAGAGACAGTTGTTAGAGGAGATATCTCTCCACCTCATATACAGTTTCTTTGGTAATATAGATTAGGGTCTCTCAGAGAAAGGGGAATATATTGCAGTGTCCAGTGTAAACACGTAACTAATCTTCATAAAACATCTTGAGTACACTGCCTTTAAGAATGAGAAACAACTTTATTTCCAATTAACTTGCTCTATTTCCCCTCCCAGATCCTGGAAGAAGTTTGCAGGAAGCAGAATTTCAATCCCAGTGAATATGATCTGAAGTGAGTCTGGTCTATTAATTTGTTTACAGCTGGGCATTCTGCCCTTTTGTAGTCAATGTGGAGCCCACCATGAAAGTCAAAGTTTTTTTGCCTTTGAAGACTTTTTTCCTGAATTGAATGAATCTTACTGGTTGATCCTTGAAAGGAAGAGAAATTCAAAGAGACACCTAAATTAAGCTGCTCGAGTGTCATGGAATGTTAGTATTTGTACTCCTTTGACTTAAATTCAGCACATTTTAAGAAAAATGGTGATGGAAAAATGGAAGTTTATGCCTATGTTTTCTCCGGATCTGATTGCTGGGTGCTTTGGTTTCATGTCAGTTAATTGCTTGATGTGTATTTCTAGGGATTTCTACATAGAGGGCCCCTAGTTCTATCAGTAAAGAGACATCATGCAGCAAATTCTCTTTTTTTAGCAAGTGGGGAGTAGCTTAAGCAGAGAGGAACACTGAAAGGTTGTACACGTTGACTGTTTTATTCATACTCCAAAAATATTATATGTGCTCCCAAGAAATATCCCCCTGTGGACCTCTCTAGGTTCTCCAGTGCTATTAAATGGTATCCTTCCAGCTCATGTAAAGTAAAAATATAAGGTTCACTATTACCCATGGTTTCAGGTATCCACTGGGGGTCATGGGACCTATCTTCTGTGGATACAGGGGTCATACAGTAAATGAAACCTGCTGTCTATCATTTAAGCAGAACAAATGCAATGGAGAGCTTTGTCTAAAAGCACTCCGATGAAGCCTTCTGTGCGTACAGTGAAAACATAAAGAAGATTTCTGTTGTATTTATTTTGATTTTTATAAGTAAGGGTCAATGGTCTGTCTTGGACAGGGTTTGGAAGATGGCTGTTGTTTTTTATTACCAGTTTCCTGCTGCCTTTTCCACTGAGGTCCTCTAGCACAGAGGATGTGGGAAAGTGTCAGGGATTTTAAAATATGTATTGGGGGTCACTTCCTTTTCACAGAAAGTCTGCTTATTGCCAAAATTCCAAGGGATACTGGGATTTTTTGGTTCATAATAAACTTTGGAAGGTTTGGGTTGCTGTGAGTTTTCTGGACTGTATGGCCATGTTCCAGAAGTATTATCTCCTGACGTTTTGCCCACATCTATGGCAGGCATCCTCAGAGGTTGTGAGGTCTGTTGAATGCCTGTCTGATGCCTGCAATAAATGTGGGCGAAATGCCAGGAGAGAATGCTTCTGGAACATGGCCATACAGCCCAGAAAACTCACAGCAACCCAGTGATTCTGGCCATGAAAGCTTTCGACAACACTTTGGAAGGTTTGTTTATCAGATGAAGTCAGACATGACAAAGGGATGCTTGACACAGGCAAGGATTCTGTGTGCCTGTTTTTAATGGTTAAGCAAACCTTGGGGAGATTGAGCTCAAGTAAAGCCTATGATCTACATAAAAGTTTAGATCTTGCTTTCATTCATTATTTTTGAAACAAAATATATATTGTGCTATGACTGGCAAGCCTTTTGTCACAAAGCTTTACTTTCCCAAATTTGAAATGTTTTGCTCAGTACTGTCTCTCCTGTTACTGATCGCAGCTCTGTGAGATCTCTGTCTTAACAGAGTTCTTTTCTAACTCTCTTATCAAAACCTGGCATAGCTCAACCTATGACCAATACAACAAAACTTCTGGTTTAGTCGTTTGCTTCTCAGAATAACAGCTTGACATTCCATGTTGTTACTGACAGAATAAGTTGTTGCTTGAAATAATGCATTGATTAATTGTCTGAGGCAACCTTTGGTTAAAAAGTTAATACTGTGCTTGTTTGTTCTGCAGATTTCAGAGGACTGTGCTGGATCTTTCTCTTCAGTGGAGATTTGCCAACCTGCCCAACAATGCCAAACTGGAGATGGTGCCAATCTCTCGCAATAGAGCAGGAACTGAAACCGCAGTATGTTCCTTTTTACTTTATCATATGATTATAGCCCATACTCCGACCAAGGTCTTTTCAGTTGTTTGCTGGAGAGAAGATCATATTGTTCCCCCTTAGCAGGAAGCATAACAGGATAAGTAGATCTGTATAGTGAATTATTAAGATATTATGTTACTTTAAAAACTGTATAAAATCCATCAGGTTACAGGCAATGCTACAATTGCCATACCTTTTAATCCTGCTTTTTCCATCTCCATATTTATAACCTGAAATCGGATGGTTGAGAAAACAGGAAAAGAAATTCAAGGAGAGACTACTGCTGTAGGATAGTTTTTAAAATCATTTTAATATGTCTGAAGACATCATCATCGGATTTAAGTATACATAAAAGCTTCATGTACAACTGCCTGAAATATTGCTTGCTACCATTTATTCGTTTGTGGGAGAATTTTGGATTTCCAGGCCATCAGTATTAGGCACTAAACTATGAGTAGTACTTTGAGGAGACACAACTTGTGGTGTTGAGGAATTTACTAGATTGCTGGAATGGAGCCTAAATGAGCTGTTGAAATGAATATATTTTTGGCAAATGAGTTACATATAATTTATTCCACGACTGATTTCCTGCCAAAAGCATTTTAAAAAGGGGATAGACCCATAACTTGTGAAATCATGTGATCTTTGGAGGCCTTACATCTCCAGTTGAAACCTTCTTCTATTACCTAGGAAGCACTGCTGATCTCATTCACTTATTTTGTATTGTAAATATTATTCTGTGTGTGTTTGATGTTTTGCTTCCCAAAGTGTTGGGCACTCATCTTTTATAGTTGCTTCTTTCACATTCAAGCTTTCCGTGCTAAGTCTGCATCAACCGGGTTTTATTATATTCCATTTATACTTTGGGCAGGAGATGGAGAACGGAATTCTAATTAAGACAAAAAATGACATGGACCCAATTTCAAGTGTCCATCATGGGGCTGAAGGTAATAGACTTCTGTGGCCTTTCTCCCTATGGCAGCCCCCTGTGCCTGGCAAAAGCTACATTAAAAACAAGGGCCCTGCTGAATGGGATGCATTTGGCATAGAAGGAGGCTGAAGATCCATGGGGCAGAGACATTCGCTACAGGAAGGATCCCTCGTTCAGTAGGGTCACATGATCCTTGAGGTCATCTTTTTTTGGGGCAGAGATTGTGGTGGGGAGGAGCAGGTTATTATTTGCTAGCCCCATTTATTTATCATATCAGAATCGAATCAAGGATACCACTGTAATGTATTTTAAAAACACAAAGTTTTAAAAACTTGGCATTATACTAAATGTCCTTTGACCAGTAGCTGGCCACTTGGAGTCCCTCTGGTGTTACTATAAGAAGGTCCTTCATTGTGCATGTGGCAGGGCTCAGGTTGCATCATAGTAGATGGTCTGTGGTTTACTTTTCTCCACACTCGCATGTTGTGAACTCCACTTTGTGGTCCCATTTCTTAAGGTTGGTTCTGCATCTCATGATGCCAGAGTGCAGTCTGTTTAGTGACTTCCACGTTGCCCAGTCTTCTGCTATCCCCATTAGTTTTGCTTAACTCCTATTCCTACTCATTGAAACATTTATAGATATGACTCATGCCATCTTTGTTCACTGGAATTAATCAGAAGTATTCCTATTACACTCACTTCAACTTTTCCCCAATAAATAGATTTCCAAAAGGGAAGGAAAATAGAAAGATGTAAACCCATGCACATTTAATGTTGGGATATGTTTCATTAGACTTTTTTGGAATTGTTCTTGAATAAATTTGCATATGATTTTTCTATTAAATGTATGTACATATACACTAGTGAAATTAAGTTGATATGATCAGATATAACTGCAAGATACATTTCAAAAATGCCAAATTATATTTTAAATTGTGTTATGATATTGTCAAAGGATTTTTATGGGGGATCTGTGCCTAATTTGTGTAACATTTACATACTGATGTAAGCATTTTTATACTACCATCATCATATTCTCAATGCCGTTCAAAGGAGGGATTTAATTTTCTGTGGCTGCAAGTAATTTCTGACTTACGGCAGCCCTCACAGTTTTCTTCCTTCTTTCACCAATGTTTGTTAGACATTTCACCTTTGATATGACCAAAGATGAGATGACTAAACAAGCAATGATGAAAGGAGGGGAAAATATTATATAATTTTAACAAGATCATTTTTTATTTATCCCAGCATAAATTATGCAATTCATAGAAGATGAGCTAACACAATTATTTTTTAAATTAGTATTTTTTTAGCTTCTGCTAAACTGATAGTTTTTCCTTATGACTAATGGTAGTATGATACAAATATATATATATTCTGTACTTAAACTGCTTTCTGTGTGCTTTACTGACTGTAGTAGAGTAAATTTATGTTTCAACTGCGTAAGAAGAAATACTTTAGAAAGTGTACAGCCACAACAAAATTGAGAAAAGAACTGGAATTTTCTAATTTCAGCAAATACCACACTGAATTTTATAGAATATGATTGACTCTTGAACTAGGGGTAGGAAATCTTTGCTCCTTCAGATAGTTTGGCTTATATCTCCCATCTGTTCTATCCCAGCATAGACCATGGGAAGGGACTATAGAAATGGCAGTTCAAAACAATTAGAGATCCAGAGGATCACCATCAAGGTTTTTAATGAAATATCAAACTTGTTCACCTAAAGCGTTTCCTAACATTATCATTAGATACAGGTATGCTGCTTAGATTTTGCCTATCAACCAAATGCACTGTGAGAAATTTGAAATAAAATACACAAAAGGATTGTTTGGAAGCTGTGTACAATGACCACAATTGTGAAATTCTAACAATTTTGCTTATTATGTAAAAATGTGGATTAATATTTGCTTTCAACTGTTAATATGATTGACTTGTATACTTGTATACTTGTGTATGGTTATTCAAAAATAAGTTTCATTGTCTTAATTGAGTTGTAATTTGTAAATTTGTTTATGTAGGATTGTATCCCAAAACATGTATTTTCTACAAATATTCCACCCTTTATTTATCTCAGCATTTTTAAAAAAGCTTAAAATGACTTCCTAAGATAAATTCTTACATTAAAAAAAAACACTTTTGGAACCCGTACATGCAAAGACCTGTCAGTAGTAGAGCTAATAAGGGTAACACCCAGAATGCATGAGATTTTTTAAAAGTACATCTATATCTGGAAAATATTCTAATGTTTAGAGAAACTGCCAGGTGGTCAGTTTGAAGTTGGTATCTGGAAAAGTTTTCGAGCAAATGATTAAATAGTATGTCTTTGAGCATTTAGTAAAAAGCATCATTATCACAAAGAGCCTTCATAGGTCATTCTAGACTAAACTTAAAATTTTGTGGGTGATAAGGCTTGTTATTGTTTGCTTATTGTTTCTGATATATTGTGGCTTTTCTTGATAATATTTGTTCAGCCTCAGCAGAAAGCATATTTTGTCAAGAAAACTCCATGATCGGTTTATTTTAGAGTTGATATAAGCAGGAAACAACTTAAAGGCACACAACAACAAAACCAAGTCAAAACAGGTGTGGAGGCAATATTGTCAGAAGTTATGGTGCTATTTTGCTTTCATCAAATCTTACCTGGAGTACTGTGTTCAGTTTTGAATATCATCATTTGAAAGATATTGACAAACAAATATGAATATATTTCTCGGTCATGGTACAGGATGTTGAGAAGCAAATTCTGTGAGAAAAGATTTAAGGAAATAAGAATCTTAAATTGGGAGAAGAGATAATACAATTCAAACATTTTCAAATATTTGAAGGGTTTATACCTACAGATGGCGAATTTTTTTGTGGCTTTAGATTGGAGGATCAACACTGATAGGTTCAAATTACAAGAAATATTTTTACCCTACATTTTAGCAAGAAATTCCTGACAATACAAGCGGTTTGTCAGAGCTTCTTTTAAGGTGGTAGACTCTCTTTAGTTCAAGATTTTAAAGCAGATGTGCCCACTAAGGTTGATGGCAGCAATGGATTCTGCTTTGTCTTCCGTGTATCTCACATAAATGGGTCTCATTACATGGAATTGTTGGTATTTCTTTTCACAACAGTAATGGAAGAAAATTTCTAGCCCCAAATCTTTTGAGACCAATATTGATTCCAGTCATCTTTGAACAGTTATCTACACTACTGAGCTCCTTTATGGAAATGGCTCATAGAGCATCATCTAGCCTTCAGTATCAGTGAGATGAGATACCACTTTCTATCCCCCTCCTAGAAAATCTTCCTCGGATATGTTCAAGCTCTGCTAAAGCCAGAAACATGATCAATAATACACTAGTCTATAAGTATTCCCACTAAAGAAGAAAAGGTAACTGTATAAAGGAAAAGAAAGAGTTAAGCTAACGAATGAGTTGTCCAAATCCTTGGATACAGTGTCAATGTTGACATTTATTCTATGCATCAAAGAAGTGTACTTGGGGTGTATTTATACTATAGAAATAATGCAGATTGATGCCTCTTTAATTACCTCAGTTCAGTGCTATGAAAACCACCTCAGTACTTCTTGACTAAGAAAATTCTATGAAATTCAGGGGGTCTTCATTAATTAATGGGCAACTTGAATGGTACACCCATACATAGGAAGAACTGAATTGTTATAACATTGTTTTGTTTGATTTTTTTCATGTCAGGAGCAACTTGAGAAACTGCAAATCACTTTTTGTGTGAGAGAATTGGCCGTCTGCAAGGACATTGCCCAGGGGATGCCTGGATGTTTGATGTTTTATCATCCTTGTGAGAGGCTTCTCTCATGTCCCCCTCATGGGGAGCTGGAGCTGACAGAGGGAGCTCAACCTGTTCTCCATGGAGTCGAACCACTGACCTGTCAGTCAGCAGTCCTGTCACCACAAGGGTTTAACCCATTGTGCCACCGGGGGCCGTTTTGTTTGATAATATATGGTGTTTTGTTTTGTTATCCTAAGGACCAGAAGAAAAACTATAGCTTTTCTTCTGGTCCTTAGGATAACATGCATCCTGGATACAGTTCTATATGTTTTAGTCTCTGAAATTATTGAACAGTGGTTGTGTAGCTGTGCATAAGATTATAGCTTAAATATACAGACAGTGCTTACAGGATGAAATCATGGAATATGTATAGCCTAGCAAAAGTGATACTATTTTGGGAGACTTTTAGGACATTTTTCTAGAGCCATTATGTTGAGAACTATAGTAAGAAATGTAATTCTTTTTTGGTTTTGTGCCCATGGATCCCCCTACCATTTCCTGGTTTTTGAAATCCCTATATGTAATGCAATGAAAGCAGAGTCCCTGTGGTCAGGAAATGTGCATTATTACAAAGAACTAACATTGCGATTACCTATTAATCAGTCTTGTACTCACATGTTTATAAACTTAGAAACTAATTGGCACGCCCTTTCTGTTTGCTGAATAACGGATTAATATTTATATGTAGCTTGGGATTTCTGTGAAGTTTTAATTGCCTGAATATGACTTTCGTGACATGCCTGGCTTTGAACTGTTGCCTAAAAAACTGATGCAATTGGCAGAGTGGATTTCTGGCCCAGAAACTCGTAGCCTGGTGATGTCAGCTGTCGGCACTCTTGTGCAGCCAAGGATAATCTGGTGGCTGATCTTGGGCAATGGAGACATTGGGAAAGCCATGTTTGTGAAGGGTTGAATCTACTTTAGCCTTTGTGACTGGGGGTTTTACTTACAGACAAACTGTTCATTCCCAGCAGGTCACATCTTGGCTATGCAGCAAAAATAACAGCAAAGAGCTCCCTACCCTTGGCAACAAAAACCCTCATGCCTGTTGGATTTTGTGGTGTCTAGGGTTTACTTTAAAAACTCCTGTTAAAATCTTAGAAAGATTTTGTTGTGTCTGCCTCCATCCCTTTCTCAGATCTTCGGATTACTTCAGTGACGAGGACTGCATTTAGAATGAACAAGATGGGGATAAGAATGGCGGATCAGTACTCTTGCAACATTACCAGCTTGGAAGAGTTCATTGGTGTTTTCTCAAAAGCATGGAAAACGTAGGCAGTGATTCAGAATCCAAAGCCAAGAGGCAGACAAAAAGAAAACCAAGATCTCTTGTGCGGGAATTGTTTGTTTGTTGTTTTGAATATTTGTAGAAGTCGTTTGATCAGCCTTACCAGGACTTAGTGGCTCAGGTTTTCTGCCTAAAGCTTGTGGTATTGAGGATCCTAAAACCCATGGCTTGAATCTGAGAGGGTGGTATTGTTCACAATATTGGAAATCTTTCTTGCTGAAATAGTTACAAGGTCATCATTGTTCCCAAGTATTAGTAATAACAGTTACTGCTGCTGTAGTTGTCACTGTTTTTAAAATATCAGTAATTGACTATATATCTACAACTGATCACAAGGTTATTCCAATTTAGTGACTGATTATTTTACATGGCAGAATCTAAGGGTTGATGTGACTGTGTGGCAAACCAAAATATCATAAGGCCTTATGGAAGTAAAAGTAGAAAGATTTCAAGTAAACCTTAACTTTGAGCTGACTGAAAGTGGTTATAGGTTTTGGCAAAACTTCTTCTCAAGTTATGTATCCCAGAAGAGGGTTTGATTCCTTCTTTCCCCCCATTCCTGTAGTAGCTCATGATTGCCCTGGTCAAAATGGACTGATTTCAAAACAATGAAATGAATGCTTCCTTCTTTTTGGGACCCACCAGGACAATCTGATATCATTCACATTTTGCAGGTGGAATTCGTTATTGAAAAAAACAAAAAACATTTCTTTTTCTGGTTTTACAAACTACAAAAAAGAAAACAGTTTCTGGGACCAATCAGGGCATGTTTTCAGTGTACAGTAATTTGAGGTAGCTTGGTACATGGTCCTCCACTACAATTTCCCATGTAGTGGTGAGGATGGATTTAAATACAGAGGTGGAAATAATGTAATTCTCCAGGTGTGGGGTGGCACTTTGCAACTATTAAAGCTAGAGTAATTGAATGCTGAAAGTTGTAGACTATGTAATTTGCAGCTCTTAAATAGAGAAAGAAGTAACACTTTGTTCTAGAACCACGGAAATTGGAAATGTAATGTCTTTAAGTTGTAAGTCTTTAAGTCTTTCTTGTAGGAAAGAATTGTGTTGCTCTGAATGATGTCATGACCATTTAATGATTTAAATAATAAATTGGCATGCTAACCAGGAGCACAGTATACTTGTGAATATCTGATCACCACTTCTGAATAATCTAGGAAGCTTCATGCTATGTGCTCACTGAGTCATATATGTCAGATATGCATACTTTCATATCTGTTTCCTGGGCCACAATTATTTAAAATAGAATAGGCATGACACAAAGGATGATGTCAATATCAGTCTATCATAAAAGTTATTCATAATTTTATTTTTAAAATTTTGCTAAATCTTAAGACAGTAAAAATAACTTTCACTAAATGCGTTCCACTGAGGTTGAGAATGGGAGTTGCCTAAGGTCACCTCTAGTGCATTTATGTAGCCAAGTGAGGATTTGAATTCTGATCTCCAGAGTTACAGCCCAATTCTCAAAACACTATATAGGCAGTGTCTGAGTTACAAACATCCAATTAACAAAGAGCTCATAGTTAAGAACAGGAGTGAGACAACAGGAAGTGAGAGAAATCTACCATTGGATGGGAAATTCACTCCTGGAAAAGGTATTATGGGGAAAAGGAGTCTCCACTTAAACTCTATCACCAATCCTTGTTTTCATAACAAGCCAGATTGAAAATTTCTGAACAGGGGCACAGACAGCAAAACAAACATCACGTGGGTATTAACTCTTCCCTATGCTATCCAAAGCTAAATACCATATATACTCAAGTATAAGCTGGCCCAAATATAAGTAGAGGCACCTAATTTTACCACAAAATTGGGAAAACTTATTGACTAAAGTATAAGCCGAGGGTGGGAAATGCAGCAGCTACTGGTAAATTTCAAAATAAACATTGATATCAATTAAATTACATTGAAGCATCAGTAGGTTAAATGTTTTAGAATATTTACATAAAACTATAAGCTAATTCTGTCCACCCCTGATTAAACCATTATTCTAACCTTTTTCAATGTAAATGTGCTTACGTGGCCTTCCAATAATAATAAAGAGAGTAAAATAAATGTAATAAAAGTTATAATAGAGTAAAATAATACATGTAATAAAAATAATACTAATAACAGAGTAAAATAATAAATTTGACTCGAGTATAAGCCTAAAAAAGAGGCTTAAAAACTAGGCTTATACTTGAGTATATACAGTATATGGGTATATTTTAGCAGGAGTCACACTTTAAAAATGTACCTGTTTCAACTTACAAACGAATTCAACTTAAGAACAAGCCTACATAATCTCTCTTGTTCACAGCTTGGGGACTGTGTGTATTACACAGGCTCCCAAATATGAAGAAAATTAAGTATACCTGCTTATTGTAATTTGAACTGTTTTATTGTCCAGGCACAGCATGTAGAATATAGTGACAGAATAGGTCCAAGTTCATAAACCTTCCATTTAGTAACCTTGTTACATGCAATTTTAGGATCAGCAGAAAACAATTACTAAAAACAGTCAACATCATTCAAAAATCAACTTTAATCATAAATGAAAGAAAAGAGAAACGTATTGCTGAAAAAAATTCTATTGGCATTTTATTATTCAAAATGAATTTTAAAATCAGTGTTGAAAATTTTAACTGAATAGCCACAGAATATGTTTTATTTTTTAGATCTTATTATAACTAGAATGCAAAGCTGTGATCAAAAACGGAAGACAAAGTGATCTAAGATACACAAGAACAAGTCTGGAATTTTGGTGTGAGAAAGAAATATTAGGATCGAGAAGCTAAAGTGTTACTAAGAGGCTTTAGAAACGACTGGAATGAAATGAGTTACTGGGTCTGATGAGAAAGATGGTAGAAGGGCTCAGAAAAAGGCATTTTAGAGGGTTTTCCTGGGTTTAAATCCAAATGAGGTCTCTAGAATATTAGGTTTCTGATACATTTGAGGCCTAGTCAGTAAAAGTGAACTCAAGCCAATTTAAAGCCTGACTGCTGTAAAAGAAGTACAGGTTTCTATAGGGAGAAGCATTCAACATGTTATCTCTCTACGCATTCAATCCATAACATTTTCTTCAGTACGATTTTGCCAAACATATAGCTGTTCTTCAACAACTACATGTTTACAGTTTTGTCTCTGTTGAAGCAGTAACTAAAACTTGATCCACATTGTCAGTTGTTTGTTTTGGGGTCAACTGTTTGTAAGCACTAAGTGACACAGATGTCTGTTAGTCTAAAGCTTAAGTCAAAACCTAGCAGAGGGGGGCAGGATTCTGTTTGCCAGATGTGTCCCTGAATGGGCTGACTTGCCAGATGTGACCTTGAACAATCTGGCTTGCTTGTAGTTATGTGGGGCATATATATCCTTTTTCTAATTCAGTGGGTTCTGCTTCCTAGGTACGAATTGCACTGCAGTTGGATGATGGTTCTAGACTTCAAGACACCTTTTCTCCCACCCATACTTTATGGGATATTCTTCATCATTTTTCACAAACCAGGTAAGTAGAAAAAGAAAACAACAAGATAAATATTTCAAAAAGCCAAAGACATGAAACATAAGCAATGAGAAAGATGCTAAATGGATAAACAACTGTGATGTTACTTCAGAGAACCCCACCCATGATTCCTGTTAAGCTTGGGGTATATTTAATTGGGTTGTTGTCTTACTCTGTAACTCTCTTGAGCAGATCTGTAGTAATGGCTACCACTTTAGACAGGACTAGATTATATTGCACATGTGGGCACCCTGCCATATGTTCTTGGGATAGTGATTTAGCCAGTTGGTTCCCCTTAGTTCCCTTTAAACTGTCTGGGTGGCATCACTGTGTCATAGCCGGAGTGGGGGGAGATGGCAGCAACATAAACTCTGTTTGAATTGCGCATCTGCTGTCTGCCTTCTAAGGGAATGGAGCTGGAACAGAATATTCCGCACTTGCACCACTGATGATGTGTTTATCCTCCTTCTGTTAGCCAGACGCATAAAGAGCGAAGGGGACACAACACCATTAGGTCCAAACTGCATGTTACACTCAGTTGCACACATGCAAGGGTCAGTGGGCATTTCATAATAGGTTGGTTCAACGGTTGCAGAAAATCAGAGGTGAATGGAAATAGCATTTAACCTATTCTTCATTCACTCTTTCCCTCCTTCAGATCTTTTTTCTCCTGCTTCATGTGGTTTAAAATGTGTCTTTGTTAAACACTTTCTTAAAATGTCTTTTGGGGCAAGCACTGCTGGGGATAAATTTTAGAGTGGGAAAATAATAGACAGGAAAAGAACTAAGCTTCTATTTTCCCTATTCTTTCTCTACTAAATATTGTACATTTCTGAAAATGCTAATCTTTCATTTACTCTCATACCTACACACTTGCACTAGCATATGTATAAAGGTAAAGGTAAAGGTTTCCCCCTGACATTAAGTCCAGTCGTGTCCGACTCTGGGGTGTGGTGTTCATCTCCATTTCTAAGCCGAAGAGCCGGCATTGTCCGTAGACACCTCCAAGGTCATGTGGCTGGCATGACTGCACGGAGCGGTACCTATTGATCTACTCACATTTGCATGTTTTTGAACTGCTAGATTGGCAGAAGCTGGGGCTGACAGCGGAAGCTCACGCCGCTCCCTGGATTCAAACCTGTGACCTTTCAGTCAACAAGCCCAGCAGTTCAGTGCTTTAACCCACTGCGCCACTGGGGGCTCCATAGCATATATATACTTGTCCTGTAATGTATGCTTTTTTAGGCTATACAAGCCTTTTGTTCTTGGCCAGGTTTGTTATGCAGATAATGTGCATTTGCATCCTAACAATTGTACGTAGGTTGACCGTCTGTGTAGGTTTCCCTTGTGTGTTGCTCAGCTGTCACTGAATAGAGTTCTGTGCTCACCAGAGCTCTTTGATTTAAGACAACTTAATTTTTTAAAACAAAGGGATGCTTTTTGGAAGGAAATTTGCTTTAGCTAGTTTCACTTGTTCTGTGAAGCATGGCTGCACAAATGTCATTTGATATTGTAAATTATGATAATTGAGGACAACTCAATCCTTCACTTCCTGTACTGAGGCAGTGTTGCTTTTCACTTGTTCAATGGCTATATGTTCCCCCTCATCTGCATACAAGTACACAGATTTCTGTTGTTGTTTAAAGAAAGTTGTCTTTCATGCAGTCTCCTAGGTGTGGATGGCATCAAAAGGAGATGTGTAGGAGATGTGTAGAACTGCGCTGTACTGTGGCTGCAATCTGGTTGGGTGAGCTTGGAGGGGACAGAAGGGTTCCAGGCAAGACTGTGGTTCAGAGTATTGACTGAATGAACTATTTCAAGCCTTTAAAAGAAAGGGACTTTCTTATTGCTTTTCTTGTGTCTTGTTCTACCTCAGAAAAAGCCTGTGTTTCATATGTAATGTCTACGGATTAGGAAGCTTCTGTGATGGTTTGCCTCCCTCTTGCTGCAGCCCACATTTAATGCTTTCTTCTGTCTGAAGTGGATTCAAGAACAATAGCTGCTCTTCAAAAACAAATGTCAAACAAATACTCCAAAGACCATTTTGTTACTTAATTTTGTTTCTCTTGTGGCTTAGAGGGCAAAGCTTCATGAATCATAGACAATTGCTACAGGTCTCTTGGTGAGTCTTTAAAATACACACACAGCCAACCCCACATACTTGCTAAGGGATTTCTTTGATACTTGGGAAGGGGTTTTCAACACAGTATACTTCCTGTCCATTCTCAAATTGTTGCACCAGGTTTTTTCTACATTCATGTGACTTCTTGGCTCCTGTTCTGGTTGAAAGCCTTTCTTGATGATGATCCACGTACAACCTTATAAGATTGTGTAATTGACATTTATTTCAGGCTCAGAAATCATTCCAATAACCATCTTAAGTAGTCAGTAACCTACTGTCATATGAAGACTCCCAAAGCTGAAATGATAGAACTACCAGGAAAGGGGTGGGTGGGCCAGCTTGAATTCTTGAATGAATAACAACAAGCAGATGAGTATTAAATTTGTTTTCCAAGTAGTGAATTTGTTATTCTGGTAAGCTTTTTTCTTTCAGCACATTGCAAGCAATTTCCATTGTTGTGTGACTTCCACAAAGAATTCTAAATTCAGGCATTTATAAAAGATGTAACTTTTGTATTACCTGTGTCCTTTGCTTAAAAACATGTAACATCTGTAGCATTCTAGAAAGATATGTGCTTGGATGACCTGAATCAAGAAAAAAGCAGATTGACTATTACCCTATTGCTGCTTTTTGATCTCTCGGTGGCTTTTGATGCAATTGATTGCAGTGTCCTCACTAACCAACCGCATTGAGGCCTCCCTGAGTCCCCTTTGGGGTGAGAAGGGTGATATGCAAATGAAGTAAGTAAGTAATAATAAATAAACCAACTCTAAACCAACTCTATCAGAGAAATAGGCACTGAATTGATGTGATTGCCCTCCTACCTTAATGCTCAATTTAAGGGAGTGGTATTGAGCAACATTTTTCTCTGCCTCTTCACTACATGATTCTATAGGTACAAGTTTGTCCCAGCACTAACATATAAATCAGACCTGTAGTCCTTTCAAAGATTTCTTGACAACAAAATTGATTAATACATTTCTTGTGAACGATCCCCTGACTGTAAAACAACAACAACATCAACAACAACAAATACCCAAGTGAGCATTGATGGGAAGAATTTGCTTTTGGTTTCCGGATCATAATTGAAAAACCATGATTCATCACCTGTGATCATGTGACTGGAGAATTCCGGCTCCCTCTCAAGAGAGTTCAGAAGATCAAAACACACATTCCTTCAGTTGACCTTCTGCTCAGTTGTGAGTTTTTTGAAACCATTTTGGTGCACAAATCCTGTGTTAAAACCTGATGAATAGCACACTGGTTCAAATGTAACTCACTACCAATCATTCTCAAAGTCAATTGATGAGCTGACATCAGAAGACTCCTCATTGCTGCCACATTGCCATCCACTTTTGAGTTTGAAGGTCTCCCTGCACAAAGTGGATTTGTCTTCCACTTTTTCTTGGCCTTCTAAAAAGCCTTGTTCTATCTGAACACTTGTGGCCTCCATAGGGAGTGTTCTCCATAAGCCCTTTGTAATCTTTCATAAGTCGCATTAGTGAATTCACCAAGCCTTACTCAAAATTTGATGGCACAATGTTGCTCTAATTTTTGCTAGTGCATTTCGTAATGCACCTTACAGACCGAACTTCACATCAGGTGCTCTTAAGTTTACAGCAGGGTCAACCTAACTGCTATTTGAGAGTGGAGATAGCAGAGTTGTTGGTTTGTACACAGCATTGCCAGTCTCCTTACTTAGTCTCAGGCTTACAAGAATACCTGCACTGTAAATGTGTTAAAGGTCATTATTATCATAACTGTTTTTTGTATGCCTTTCTTAATGACCCTAACTTTATATCCATCATGAGACACAATACATTGGTCCCAGTATTCTTATTCTGCTGACTGGAATATCCCTGAGCAGATGAAAATATTTTTGCTGGTAGGTAGGGAAAAGAAATTTGAATGGTCTTCTCTATCTTGTAGACCCAGTGCCACCTTTCCTGCTATTTTGGAAGGCCTTTAGCCCTTGGGAGCAGTTTTTAAAGAGAGCTAGAGATAGAAAGTGAGGACAAAATCGGATATCACTACCTCCTGTGGATTCAATCCAGTTGATTAAAAACCTTCTATGGATTCAATCCAGCAAAATTAATCACCTCCAACAGAGACTTAATTGGAAAAAGGTGAAACTGGAGCAGTGGCTTACCAAATACAACAGGGACTTACTTGCATGAGGGAATATTCTAGATTTATAAAAGCTTTTAAACTTGTAATATGCTTCCATATTTTGCCAGTGTGCCAGTTAACTGCTCCTGAGCACATATGGTTGTTGTTGCTGCTGCTGCTGTTACTGTTGCGTGCCTTCAAGTCACTTCAAATTTGAAGTGATTATGATGATTTTTTTATGTGTTTTTCTTTCGAAGATTTCTTCAGAGTGGGTTTGCAGTTGAGATGAAATGGTGTGATTTGCCCAAGATAGGTTTGTGTGGCATAGTGAGAATTTGAACCTGCTGTCCCAGAGTCCTACTACAACACTTATTTTGCCAAACTGTGTTGGTTTCTGAGATAGAGTGATGGGAAGTATTGCTCTAGAGACTGAATATGAACCGCCCTGTGTAAAGTCAGACCTTTGGGTCATCTAGCTTAGTATGGTGTGTGTTGAATGGGTGCAGTTTTCCTTTGTTGATATCCACCCTCCCCACTCTTCCCAAGTATGTTTGGAGAATGCAAGAGATTTAATATGGGACCTTGTGTATGTTTGAATTTTAACCTTTAAAAATTGCTCAGCTTTATGATACAGAACTGTCTGGTGATCCTTACACATTCTTTTATAAGGCAAGGTATACCTGTCAAGGAAGGTTTCAACATTTACTTCGTCGTACTTTAGTCACATTCTGTTTGAACTACTGCAATGCTCTCTACATGGGGTTGCCTTTGA